AGACAGACTGAAGTGATTTATAAAAAGCATTTAATTGCTCAGAGTTCTGCATCTCGTCAGCTAGGACTAGATGGCAGAAATCTCTGTAGAGGGAGAAACACAGGTTAGTGACGACGTAACTGACTGGGAATGATAGTGCATGTGAGTCACTAACCTGGTTATTAAGTTCAGTTCCATTCCAAAGGAAGGAGTGGAATCCAGCCAGATGATTTTCCACATCATGTGGCGGAAGCCACCCAGAGAGTTCCAGGAGTTGAAGCCAAAGGTGCTGAAGAGCAGACCGACACCAGAAGCCAGCTGACGAGGAAGAACAGAAGTATCTGGAAAGAGAATCCAGTGATGATGAGGATGCAGAGGTTCAGACCAGGAGATGAGAGATCAGAAGAGTAACCGAAGGTAAATCCAAAGGAGACAGATTCAAGGTTTTTAGCAGGCAGAATCCAATGGAAGGCCATAGACAGGCCAGGTAAACAGATCAGAACTGGAGCAGACAAACTCAGAAGTCCAGGACCAGAAACTAGTCAGGATCAGACATTCAGAATAAACACAGTGGGGTAAGCTTTTACCTCGGCTTGAACAATCTGGCACTGATGGCTGGGACAAAGCAGTTAAAACAGGAACTGGAACAGGTGGATCTGATGAATGGTAATGAAAGCTGGGCGGAGCTTGACAGGTGTATAGAATTAACCAATAATCCATTGATCAGTGCAGAGATCATAACATTTATGTCAGTGTCCTGACATAGGCTACGTTCACACTGCAGCCTGAAGTGACCCAAATCCGATTTTTTTGCCCACACGCGACCTGGATCTGATCTTTTCATGGCAGTCTGAACAACACAAATCCGATTTTTTCCAATGCGACCCAGGATACTTCTGATATCTGATACGAATCTGGTCTTTTCAAATGTGACCTATGTCTGAACGGCCAGGTCGGATTCATCTGACCTGAACGTCATTAATACCTGACAAAGGTCACTATTATGCATCTTGCTATGCAGAAGCGGCAAGAAAAACAACAACCATGGCACATGATGATGCGGAGAACAGTATTTATGTTTAACCATATTGAAAAGGTTGTGTTTTTATAGTTGGAAAAGACAGCTAGATGCGCTCCGGCACTACCATTCATGTTTACTTCCGGAAAAAAAGAGCACGCTGGCCCGTGACGTCATCGCGTCCTCTACTGCGCGTGCTAGACACTTGCATTGTATGACTGCGGTTCACACAGGAGATCATAATACAAGTCGCATACATTTGGAAATATGAACGGCAACGCAAAAAAAAAATCGGATTTCACAAAAAATCGGAATTGAGCATCAAGGCCTGCAGTGTGAATGTAGATATATTCATTGTATGTCTTGCAGTTTAAGGTTTGTTCTGGTGCAAAATAAACCCCAAATTGCATCTTGACTTTTTTGAACCCTTAAACAATTTCCTTGAGGATGGTTTTGTTTTCAGGTACAGCTATCTTCCAGTTAGCTCTTCCAGTCAGCTTCCCTTTCTCTGCACAGTAATAATATCACAGAAGACAGGAATCCAATAATTGTTTATTGTAATATTCCAAAGGGTATACATTCACACTTTTTAAGCTAGAGAATACTGGATGGAGTCATAGCTTTTCAAACACAAATTAAAAAAAGGGCTAAGGTGCCTGACAGAGACTTGTAAGAAAAGTTGAGAAAAGAGCTGTTTATTAACCCCGACCAATATAGCAATTGTGTCTATGCGCAGACAAGCCATAAAGTAGAGACTTTGATATTCTGTATTAGCTTTAGCTTAGTAACCAGTTCAGCTGTACAGTATAGAAGCATGGCTCATTAACACCTTTGTGTTGTTGGGTATCTCTAAACATAAAATCTCCTCAGTGTTTAGTGTATTTATATAATCATTGAAATACTTACCTGTTTAATCCTTATAAAAAATTACATAATTTGGTTTGAACACATATATGTTTGTATACTTGATATATCTGAGTAAACATTTTAAATGTGAATATTAAATTTGAAATATTGCAGTTTAAAGTAAAAAAAAACAACAACAATGTTTCTAATTATGATGTTCATTTGACTATCTAAACACTTTTGTAGGTTAAGTTTCCCATTGATCTCCTTATTGTTATTTTGAGTCTGAATGATAAGGATTTATATAAAATTTAAATATTACAGGTACATTAGTAATATTTATGAGTTCATAGTTTTTCTTTTAATGTTGTTTTAAAGGTTTTTACCTGTTTTCGACCAATTGTAAAGTCCTCACACATACAGAAATGGGTGATGAAAAAAGATCAATGATTGGTCTTTTGAATGGAATCCAGTTGGGGAAAAATGTGTAGATGCATCCATCCTTTTTAAGTGGGAAACTTGCATAAACATAAGTGTTATCTGTACAATGCTGACAGTAAGGAAGGTAGAGAGAAGCAGCATGCCTCATATCAGTAGTACTTAATTTAGCATAGGGATAACAAGCTAATACCTGTAATTTAAGCATCACAACTTTATACAAAATAATTTTCTTCGTGATTGGATGATATATCATGTTTGGTGTGTTCTGGCCTTTATGGGCTGGCCATGTCAAGTTTGCAGTTGTTTGCAGCTGCAGTACTATATGTATTAAACTGAGCTCTATCGGTTGCTCAAAGCTCGCAATATTATTGTATAACCATAATCTGCTCAATAATGTTATAAACAAATCCTTGAGGCAGTCACATGTTCAGATTTCAAATTAAATAAAATCGCACCCAAGCGTTCTCAGAGACACCAATTGGGTGAGTTTGGACGGTAGTCATTTTAACTAATATTATTTTGAACTGTCAGAAGAAATTGGTTATGCCACATTTTTTATTTTATATATTGTAAAAAAAAAAAAAAAAAAAAACTATTTATAATTTCCCTATCCATGGCCTCTTTATGGATCCAACCCTAACGTCAGCCAACTTTCCCCACATTTTCAATGAATGCTTTTTGATAAGACTCCTTCAGTGCTTGTCTTCGAGCCCAAATGCAGCTTTTGATCTGCCCCTGCTTCTGCACACCTGAATCAAATAATTGCAAATACCTCCTCAGCTCCCTCCAAGGGCTCCAGAAATCAGGTGATCACCCATTTATTTGAGTCAGGTGTGTAGACAAGGAAACACCTCAGACATGTAGGACAGTGGGTAATGAGAATGGGGGTTGAAAACCCTGCTTTAGATGATATATTTGTGTATACAATTTTCTAATTCTAATGCTAATAATCTGTAGCAATGTTTACTCCTAATTTACCAATTATTGAGTAGCAGAAAGGCTAATCAATTTAAGGGGAATTTCTTTTTATTAGTATACAGCCAGGTTAAGAAAATTGAAAGAATGAAGAAACACACACACTCATACAAAAACCACTCTCCTTAAAAGAAAAAAAGGTTTTATTTAGATCTTTAGTAAATTTGTTACCAAAAGCCTTTCATAGGAAAGATTTCTTTAAGTTCTTGATGAAAAAAAAAAAGGCCACAATTAATACCTCAGAATTCGGCTTACAAAATCCATTAAATAGATTTTTATATTGATTCGGTGATCAAACATTTTGATTTATGGAGATGAAGAGAAATCTGCTTTAAGTGACTGGTACGTTCTCTTCTCTCAATAGAAAAAGGGCTCAACATTAAAAAGGAAGTTTTATTTATTGATGTAAAGCTTCTAGACACTTTGATTGGCCCAAAAAATTAAATTGGAAATTAAAAAGTTTTTTTTTTTATTTATTAAGAGTTGTTCATTTTGAGAATTAGAATTCATTTTCAAAACTGAATAATTGATTATTATGTTAAAGCATTTTTTTGTTGTTGCATTTTTTCAACTGTTATTGAAAGTCAATTTTTCTAAATTAATTTAGTTTAAGGTTAGGCTTCTTCACAATGCCTAAATTTATTTAAAATATAATTTTTAACAATTCTACATTGGTATCAATAATCATGAATGCTATTTTTTGGCTCTATATAGTTTTTTCTAGGCCTTGCATTCCTCAGTGAAGTTATTTTATGTTCAAAAAAGTTCATACTGACCAAATCCTTGACGGAGAGTGATACAGGGTACGCAAAGTTTTTTGGAAATCTGTGGACATGTCTTGGCCTACATCCTCTTCCTATGCATCTGTGCCTTTAGCTGTGCTTACAGCTCATGTAAGAAAAAAAAATATCCCTATATTATAAAGTTACTGCAATGAGTTTAATCTAAACCTTTCTTTTCTCTACAACAGTCCACCTATAGTTACCTCTCAATAAATTCAATTCTCATTTAGAAATTAATTTACATCAATAATTTCATTCAAAAATGCACAAGTTATAAATTTCTGACGTCTGAAATGTCAGGTGTCAATTAGTTAGAAAATTAAGACTGACAAAATTTTGGTTCTTCAGAAAACTGATTGACAATATTTCGAAGAACAACATTTTGATAAAGAAATATCTCCCTACTGTATGACATTTCCAGTGGTTTGTTTCTAACTTTTTGTTGGAATGGCTATGACCTGGATGACTGAGAATCTTCACCAGCATACTGTATGGCTCGAGCTACTGTATACACACACTGCACAGTATATTTTTTCAACATTGCTCAAAGCTTTTTTTGCATGAATTACTGCATAGAAGCATCAGGGCATGGAGGTGACAAACCTGTTTCTCTGCTGTGGCATTCAGTTGCACATGTTGCTTTAGGCTTTTTTTTGCATTCAGCTTTTCCCTTTGTTGGATATTTCTCTTCCCCTTGTTTATACCCCAATAGAACACCCTTTAACATTGGTTAAAGCTTGAAAGAAGGCTTTTCGCTCCTATTTTTTAATCACCTTATTTTCTTACAAACAGCTTTTTGGATCCAGCTGCTACACACCAAAATTATCAACATAAAATAAATAAATATTTAAAATATATCCATCTGAGTAATCGAGTTCCAACTCTGAAGTGAATCACCTGTGAGGCCTCGCCCTTTGAAATACGCACACCAACTCGTTCAGGCAGACACATGACGCCGATCATTTTGCATAAAAGATTTCAGACACTTTTATTATTGTACAAGTGATACCGGCATAATGAAAGTGATAATACCCATGAACATGAAAGACAGTTTTTCCTTACTGTATATACAGAGAAATGTCTTCATATCAGTCATACACACACCCACACACACTCATACACAAAAAATGTCTCTACACTTTGAACAAATTGTAAATAACATAACATTAAATAAACTTCACCTACCTTTAGGTTTACAGCTGAGTATGCATATGATGACCATCTTTGCACTGCATAGAATTTATACATATAATTTTCCTTATGACCATTGTGGGATTTTCTAAAAATAATAATAATAATAATAAAAACAATAATAATACTGCTCTCATAATGCATATCGGTAGCCTGTAAATTAACATTAAAGAACTAAGTCTTTGGCAAACGCAAATACATTCACTTGAAAGATGGAGAAAAAAAATGACTCCAGCTTCACTGGAAAAAAAGAAGGACTTTGCCTGAAACATGCAGGACATAAAGTTAGGAGGGGACATGTTTAAGGCATTTATAGCTGAATTTGTCACCCTGCTTTTTGATTTCAGAATCATCCAATCAGAGTGAATCCAAACAAATTAGACTTGGAATGGCTGTTATATCCTTACTTCTGGGGTTGAATGCCAAAGACTTAATGAACTTAAACAGTGAGAACATAAAGTAGTATAGTGCACATCAAGTCAGTGAGATGATGAGCTTTTTAAAACTGTAAGTGCCTTTACAGACTGAGACGCATTAGACTTACAGTCATCTTTTTTTTTTTTTTTTACATAAAACAAATATGCACATTTATTATTCTGCATAACCACAGTCCAGTGTTGCAAACCTCCAAAATAGTGCAAAATGAACATAAAAATAAAACGCTCAAAAGGTTTTGCCTGATTACCTTCCTGACAAATAGAGAACAAGTCAAACATTAGCCAAGCTGTGATTTAATCCATACAAATTATAAAAAAAGGAATTAGGAAAATTATTTCAAGAATATCTTTCCTGGAAATCTTGCAAACAGAGGATCATGGTGCTTTAATATCATGACTCCCTCTACTTTTCAAACAGGCATTTATTCCATTTTTCGTGTTTACATTTTGATTGTGTCTCACAGATAACTTGTCCTAATCTTCTCATGGCATCAAAAGCAATTGATTTTTTTTTTTTCCCACTCAAGCTGGATGTTTGGTCAGTGCCTGCTCAGATGGACTGAAGGAAAAGCCGCTACAGCCTGCGCAAGTTGCTGCTCATCTCCCCTGATCTCTGTGCATTGGAATATGATTTGAGTGGGAGACAAAGGGCAAAAGGAAAAAAAGAAAATATAGTCGATACATTTTAAGTTGTGGACAGTGTCCCTACTGGAACCCCATTGAGAAAAGGAATGTACAGTATTGATCCGCTGTTGGATGAAATGGTGGCATCACAGGAGGGGAAATAAATTCAAGATGTTTTTTTTTTTCTTTCTAGAGTGCTTGTTTTTAAGCCACTGCTATTAGCCAAGGATTCAAACTTCCAGTGTTCGTCATGGTGTTTTTATTTCTTTTGGCTTTTTGTGTCCATAAAAAATCCAGAGAGAAGACGGCGGTCATCTTGAATCCATATATTTTCTTTCTTTTTTTTTTTTTTTTTTTTTTTTTGAGAGTCGGGAACATTTTATGCACTTTTTTGCCCAGTGTCCAGTGGGTCGTGCTGTTCACACCTGGGCAATATGGAGACTGAGGCCGTGGTCCTGCAGGTTGATTTGGTTTCCATGGTAACTAGTGACGGTCATAGGCAGTGGCAGCAGTGGGAGGGGCGGAGCCTCTCGATGCGGCACTATAATAATAAGGGGAACCTGAAAGTTAACAGAAGAATGAACCTTTTGAAACAACAAATTACAGCTTTCACTGTCATTTGACAAATATTGATAAGTGATAATACATACATTAAATTGCTCAAGAGTTGTATATGCTCTGATTGTAGATATTGGTATATTTTAAAGTCTAACCATTGTCTTTACCCATATTAAAGTTATCGAAGAAAAACACATCGCCTGACTCTACTAGAAATTCCTTTAAAGGAATAGTACACCCAAAACATGATTAGCCTTCATTTTCTACTCACCCCCATGCTGAACAAAACTCTGGAGTACTTTTTTGATATCTCAAATGCATCTGGAGATCTGGGAGGCTTCTTGCTGTCTGCTGACATTCAAATAATGGAGGTCTATGGCGCCCGAGACAGAAAGGTCCACAAAAGTCCACAAAAACGTGTCAATATTCCTCCATACTGCTCGTCCAATGTAATCCAAGTGTCCTGAGTGGGTAGCATCCAGAATTTACTCGAAACGAAGTCATTTAGAACGTTTTAGAGCCTAAACAGTAGTGTATAGGATTTCCTAATAGCGCCCCCATGCGCGCTCACGATTCTACGGAAGCCGGCAGACCAAACCGGAAGGAAGTGCGCATTCAGCGTCTGCTCTTCCAATAATGCAAGCGTAGAAGAAGAAATGTGCTGTTTACCTGTGCAAAGAAAGAAACAACGAAAGAAAAATGTCTGAGGACTTCAGTGTTGAGGAAGAGCATGAGTTCTTTGCCGAGCTGAATGCGCTGGTTTGGTCTGCCGGCTTCCGTAGCGTCGTGAGCGCGCATGGGGGCGCTATTAGGAAATCCTATACACTACTGTTTATGCTCTAAAAACATTCTAAATGACTTTGTTTCGAGTAAATTATGGACGCTACCCACTCAGGACACTTGGATTACATTGGACGAGCAGTATGGAGGAATATTGACACGTTTTTGTGGACTTTTGTGGACCTTTCTGTCTCGGGCGCCATAGACCTCCATTATTTGAATGCCAGCAGACAGCAAGAAGCCTCCCAGATCTCCAGATGCATTTGAGATATTAAAAAGTACTCCAGAGTTTTGTTCAGCATGGGGGTGAGTAGAAAATGAAGGCTAATCATGTTTTGGGTGTACTATTCCTTTAAGAAAAAAGTCTTCATAATTACACCTCAGGTAAATATTAAGTTATGGACTACTATTTAGAAGTTCAATGACTTTAAATCTTTAAGTAAAATTAGGAAAATTATATTATTATCAGTGGTTTTGTGAAGCTCTGTTATGTCTTCACTTAAAGTCCTTTACTGACTGAGTAAATACGCTACTATATAAATGGATAAAATACTTTTCTAAATCTTTTAGGTGAAAACTGCAAGGAAAAATTAAATTCATGAGTGAGAAGTCTAAATATATTTTTATGATCATTTAATACATTAAAAGTACAAACTTACTAGTTATAGCTTATCAATGCATCAGCGATTGTATGTTTGCAGTTTGGTGAGTTCTTTTTTTAGTGTGATAGAAATTAAAGATGTTGGTAGTTCCCTTCTTTTCTAATGGATAACTTCTAATAGCTCTATTGAGGAATCTGCAACAATTTTATATTTTATAGTCTTTAGAGGAAAATCAAACAGAATCTGTCGAATCTCAAACTGACAGATCAGACCTAAAAAGAACAAATCAGTAATCTGCAGGAAAAAAATCATAACATCTTCCCATAAATACCTTATTCTGATTTTTTTTCCCTGAACATTTGTATATTGGTAAATTTATCCATAAACAGCTCAAATCATAAATTTGTTTGGAATGGGTGTGTGGCAGCAGTAAATCATAAAAATCTGCTTTCAAATGTAGCAAAATCTAAAATAGTGTTGCACCGATACCGATACCAGTATCGGACAGGGCCCCGATACTGCCCTAAAATGGTGCTATCGGTATCGGCAAGTACCAACAAATAGGGCACCGATACCATTTTGAGAGCCATAAGTTTATTCAACTATTGTCACCCACTCCTGGTAGGCAATAAAAAGTTCTACTGGATTCACTTTGTATTAGATTCTTTCCTGCTTCACAAAGGTAGGCAGCAGCTTGACAAAGTCATGATGGCAATTATTTTACATTATTATGGTATCGGTATCGGCCGATACTGCACAGCCAGGTATCGGATATCGGTATCGGGGCCAAAAAATGGCATCGGCGCAACACTAATCTAAAATAATTGTTTGAAAAATAAGAATCTGAACACTTGCTAAATATACTGCAGTAATTTGAATAGTCTGTTAACAGCTATTTAAAAAAATCGGTTGATGATCTGGAAAGCCTCAACTCAAACATAATTTTGTTGTTGTGGATCTAAAATAATATGTTGTCTTTTTCAGTTTTTTTTGTTATAATTTGAATATACAGATAACTAAAGAAATGTTTATTCTTTAAACCTTTGCATATTTTTATTCAACGACTACTTTATAGTCAGGTAGGATAATTTTTAGTAGTATAAGCAAATTGTGCTTGTAAAGTTATTTAGATAAGGACATTTAGCGATGCACAATCTATTCTAAACAATAAGTAGGGATTTAGTGATTTCTGGATCCACTTATACCTAAGCTGATGGACTGCTATTAATGCAGCAACTCCAGTCAATCTCTATGAGGGAATTTGTTTAGCCATTTAATTTTCATGAAATTGTACTTACTTAGTAACGCTGGATTGCTGAATCGCCAGGCTTCATTGTAGGTTGTGTACTGTGGATGACTGTAGGGGTTCCCCGAAAACTCACTCCCTGCAAAACAAAACAACAAATCAATTAGCATTTCAATGCATCTAAACCCATGCAACTTCACATGCACTCATCCGTCGTCATTCAAAAAGGGACGCAATTTAAGACGGAGAGTGATAGTCATCAGTGTGCACCCAGTCAAGCAAGTAATTTATTTCTTTTTCATTTCACTTAAGTTATGCAACACTGAACAATACAGGATGTGACACTGAAGGTGGCTATCCCTGTCCCTTTTTATGGCTGTCTAACCCTTTATTTTGGGCCCTGCATATTTCAAGCCACTCTAATAAATACAGAGTGGTAATAAACAGCTTCATGCGTACATTTTTGATTTGTTGCCATAAATCCTGTTAATGTGTTAAAAACTGCAACCCCTCTGGTCTGAGCTCAGAGGTTTTATGCAGTAGAGTTTCCTTGTAGGTGAAGCAACTTGGAGCATGTCAGTGAACATTGCTGTGTGTATAACAGGTTTCTTTCTTTTATGAGACAATAAAGACTAGATTTTATATGAGGTTGGTGAGAAATGACTTTCCTTTAACAGTGTTTGGGTCCTGTCACTAAAAATTAGCTGTTGTGTATAGGATGAGTTGGTTATAGCACAAAACCACAAGCCATAGGATTAAGGTGCTGATCTTTTGCTGTTTGTCACAGAAGAACAAATGGAAAGTAAAAGCAGGGCTGTGTGGATTATTTCCCCCCCGTGTGATTTAGTTGTTTCAACATCTATAATCCAAACATAAATGTAGACTGCATTGCTACTGGGGGCACTTTGCTTCATTTTTACTGGCAGCTGTTATATGGACACTGCTGTTTGCAGAGATATAGTGGTAAAGCCTATTGATTTTAAAAGAACACATGTAAAGCTGGATTCTTTTTCTTTCCGATTCTGGTTTATTCTTTCTGCATGAAAAAAAAAAATACAGTAAATTAAAGTCAGCACAGCATATAACGGGGCAAGATTCAACACAAACAGCAAACATTTTACTTTCATTCTGATCTTTCTTCCGATTTTTATATAGAGTGCTACTGACTGAGCACTGCTGTTTACATATTTTTTTATCTACTTTTTTAAGCTAATGCTCAATTTTATTCTTTTCTATAGAAAGTACTCCTTATCAGGCACTCCTTTTAATTATTTCAATCAAAAGTTTAAGCCAAGACTGTTATTGGAGGACAGGATGAGACCTTATTACTTTTGTAGGATTTATAAACATGTATATTTTGATGGCAAAAATGTAGGTCAATATAATAACAACAAATGGCCACTTGCCCTAATATATATATATATATATATATATATATATATATATATATATATATATATATATATATATATATATATATATTTATTTATATATATATATATAGAAAGCTTCTTAAAGAAAAACATGAAAAACACATAGTGAAAGACACTTTTTTGTTACAACGTAACCTTAGAGTATTAATGCTTTATCTTTTTAGTTTAGTTTTTTTTAACCTTTTTTCCTTGACTTGTCAACTTTTTTCTAACTTAATTAACGCTAGATAATTTATCATTCAAGAGCTCATCCAATTGGTCCTGTACAGGCATGTAGCGGTATCTTTGCTGAATGGCTAAATATGAGGGACAGGGGGACTTGTAAGGGGTATGCAAGTGATGAAAAACTTTAACTTGCCCTTTAAACGGTTAATCCATACTTCTGATTTAGGTTTTAGTTTTGTAAACTCAAAAGCTGACTTGTTGCTTTTGGTAGCCATAGAAACTGTGCTTACCTCAGTGCATCTGTGTTAAGATAACACAGATTTCTTTCTTCCCATTTAAGGTACCTCTGGATCAGTACATCTTTTTTTCCCTTAACAAAGCCACTGTAGAACCAATTTGCTGCCCTCTGCCATCTCCTTAATTATCATACCCATAAAGATTGTTTCTGGTGCATTGAGTTTGTTTTCAGCTGGATGTTTTATCCTTCTTTCGGGTCCTAGATGAATTTGTGCTGCTATCAGCCTTGCAGATTGTTTGCTTTTCTTTTGCATTTCACCTACAGTCAGGTCAGTGTTTCTGTGTTTTTCGGTGGATGGAAACAGTGATTGACCTTTCTTTGTTTTTATTTTTATTTTCATGTAATCAATTTCTGACCCTGTGCTTTACTTTAAAACACTGCATCTTTCCTGAAACAACAAATAAACAAAAACATGTATCTATGCCATTACAATATCCCCGACTTGGTGTTTTTAAGGATGAAGCCATGGGTGGTACTGATGCTCAAATATTCTAATCCCTTTTTATTTTTATTTTCTTTAGAAAGCATTCACTGTTCAGTCCCTTTATGTTTAACTGTGTGTATTTCTTGGATGGAGCTATTGCAGTCATAATTTATGTAGTTTCAGTGTTTTTTTGTTGTTGTTTTTTTTACATAGAAATCAATATTAATTGCCGCCCTGCATAAGACAACATTAATATCTTCTCACCCAGATTCCAGCTTCTGCACATTTTCATTTGGAGTGTGACACCACATTAGAGTTAACCCTAATAACAGCAGGAAATACTAACGCATTTTCCAACTCACCAGGAACCATTCCAGCGAGCGTGGAGGTTGGGTAGCTGCCCTGGCCTGTGGGGGGAACGTGAGGGGGATACCCGGGTAAAGTTGTGTTGGCCATATCCCGGCCTGCAAAGACAAAGTAAAATCACCTGTCATCCAGGGGTCAATGTGAGACAGTTAATCTCATTTAAAAAAATACAAATATTGTTAGTTTTATGAAATGCAAAATAAGGCATTTTAAACAGCATGTGCTCCTAAAAATCAAAATATAAATGCAGGAAACATCAAGAAACATCAAATCACAATTATATAAAAATTCTAATAAAAAATAATACTGCTGCTAGCAAATGGGTATTGTGTTATTAAAAAGATGAAACCTATAGAAAATGTAAACTATCAACCCAAGAGGGCTGGTCACCAAGAAAGTTTAACCAAATAAAGCATGTTGGTCCGTTTTGCTGAAACATCATCAACAAATCAAAATGGTACTGAGTATTTAGCTTGTATGTGTTCCTGGTAAATTTAGGGCATTCTCATTTTAAGATGAGGCATAGTGTCAGGGGTTACCTCCTCCCAGATCCTGACCTGGGCATCATTATGCTCTGTAGTGATGCCCAGACATCTTTTCTTGTGACATTGAATGGACCTACTGTAACCTGATGCCACAGAGTTGTTCTGTTGGATTTTGGTCATGGGAGTGTAAAGTCCAGTCAAGGGTAACAATTCCTTTATCCTTTAGGAACTGCCTCTCTACCTTTGCTACATGAGGCTGGACATTTTCTACACTGACCCTCTGCACAAACTATAAGTCTTAGGATTTCACCCTGATACCTAATGCCAATCATGGTGCCATTTTTGTATTACAAGTTTGTTACTCCTTGGAGTTGCTTTGCCAGGCCAATACTACACCACCAAACCCTTACACCCCTGTCACATAAGTGCAGAGTGAAGCTACGATAGCTTTTTTCAACTATTGCTACTTTCTATGAGTCCTTTTTGCAAATAAATTTTCCTTTAACATTTTACATGGTTTACGCAAACAGCAAGTTGTGCCTTTGGCTATTCTTCTTTGCACAATGGCTCTAGATTATCCATTGTCCAACGTTCTTTCTTATTATCTGTTTTCTTATCTTCAGCTCAGCCCAAAGGTTATTTATAGGATTTAGTTTTGGGGGACTCAGATTGTCATATAAGAAGGGTGATACTGTGTCTGGTGAACCATATATTTAATCTTGTCCATTATGGTTTGGATCATCATCTTGAGAAACTTGGTTTTCAGACAGTGATACACATTTCCCATTAATTGAAGTCCAAATCCTTACTACACTGGCTCCCTGCTCATTTTAGAGTTCATTTTAAAATTCTCTTAGCCACTTTTAAGGGTTTTATGGTCTTGCCCTACCCTGTCTCACTTGGTGACTCAGATCAGCTGACCAGCTCTGTTGCTGGGGGTGCCAAGGACCCAAAGGAACCTCATGGGGGATAGGTCTTTTTTTAGAGAGGCCTCTTCACAAATCATTTTTAAATCTGCTCTTAATACCTGTCTTTTCAGTTTGGCTTTGTATTCACTACATTTGATTTGTTTTGTGCTTGTGTTTTATTTTTTTTTTTAACTTTAATTATATATAGAAATTACTTTTATTGCAAAGTGGCAATATGAACATAAAAAAAAACCTAAAACATCTTTGCCCAAATTTATTTTATTTTTTTTATAATTCCTGTTGTTTTAAACATTTAACATGTTTATTGAGTGAAACATGGGGAAGTTTGGAGAAAATTAATTTTTTATGTCCTTTTACCAGTTTTTTGACACATTTGCATAGTTCAATAAAAAGTTCCTTTCAAGAAATTGCCTAAAAGAAACCTGCTTTAAACCCCAAGGGGACAGAATGTTAATCTGTTTTATTTATTTAAGGTTCCTTCAGTTTTATTTAATGTAGAAAGTAGATGAAAATTACTAAAGGTACTGTTAGGAGCACATGCAGTGTTGTTCAGAAATACCTATATTCCAATATGATATTATTTTTACCCACCGATGAAAATTAAAAGTTGGACCATTACATTGTTTGTGTGTAAGGTTATCCTACTGCAATGAAAGCTGAATTTATTTTTAAGTATTTTTGCACCTTTCTACCTTAAAAATGTGTTTATAATAATAATTTTGTATGTTTTTATCATTTCTGTGTTAAAATCTGATTTCACAAATCGAAATTTCTAAACATTTTTTAATATATTGTTAGTATGTCTCAACAAAACTATCACAAAGCAGTCAACACAATATCTTCTGACCAAAAAAAACTCAACAAGATTCATTTCTTACATTATCTGAACACACCAGACTGTATTGTTTTGCTTGCAGTTGTGCTACTTAGATGAACCCAGTGCGCTAACTAATCAGTTAAAACTGGTTAATCTATACCAGCTTAACAAAACCCACGTTCCTGCCTCTTCTTTATGAACCGTACAGTCCGAACATTCAGGCTCTTTTCAGAACGCCATCCGTTGGCAGTCTGCAGATATTCAGCTCTGTAATTGGGAGTGACGGCTGGGCTGTCCTAGCTAGTCACAAGGACATTCGGACCCCAGCATGTATCCCCAATCTACACAGCGGATGGGGTAAAGGAGGCCCCTTCTATATTGTCATCCATGTGGACCCCTTGAACTCAAGAGAAGCTTGTCTCTAAATAGGGATTTAATGATGAATTAGCGGATGAAACGACAGTTGTTTATATTGGTGTTTTTATAAAACAAAGAATGTAGAAGAAGCGTTAACTTTATGGTTACACAGAAAGTATATCAATGGGTTTTGATAGCTTTTATAAGTCAATTTAGGTTGTTTTTCATTAGTTTGTCTGTCCATATTCATTAATTTATGGTGAACTATGTTTTTGTTGTATTACTTCGGTTGGCCTTTCAAGATCTATGCATTATTAAGGTTTCCTTTCAAATTTCCATCTTATGCTGCGTTTTTGCCACATATCCATTTTTTTTTCTTAGCCACATTTTTTAACCTTCTAATATATTTCCCCTCCTCAGCATTTTACCTTTACTCATTACATTTTTACACAGTCTTTTTTTTTTTTTTAGATGTATTTTTCCTACAGGAGTATTCAAAACCTGTGCCTACTCCTACATTGATTTAAAGAAGTCTAACCCCTGAAACTTAGATTTACTTAAACTTAAATCTAATATTGTTACAATGATAAACTGTAATGTGATTTGACTGGAATGTATTCGATGAACCAAAACAAAGCCATTTATAACAGTGAAGCAGAGGGAAAATTATACACACATAAAAAGTTTAATGTTCATTTGTTTTTACCCCATTTACTCTGGTGCGCCTAAACAACAAAATATCAGGAAGTCAAGTGCATACGGCTGTTCTCCGACTGCATCAGAGGATTATTAATTAACATTAGGGTACATACAGCATGATGCAGCCAAGAAACACAGCAGATAGGTCACAGATCTATTGTGAAGTTGTAGAGAGAAAGGATTAGGTTATGAAATCATCATCCCAAGCTTTGAACCCATAACAGAACCAGCTTCAATCTATCATCCTAAAATACAAGAGAAGGGTGGGGACAGAGAGCATTAATCAGAGAAACAGTCAAGATGCCCATGCTAAATCTAAATGAACTATCCACAGCTGAATGGAGAAATCTGGAAATCAGAACACAGCGACAGCATCGTCCTGTGGTAAAACCTTTCTTAAACAAGAACTAAAAAGCTGATCAGAATAGAATTTTTAGCTGCAGCTACATAACAATTTCAATAAGAAAGTAGAGGGTGAAGATAATTTTTAAACTGTGGGAGATGTTGATCTTCTGGGAGGACAAGCACTACTAACATGTACTGTAGTGAGGGCGAAAAAACGAATGGTTTAGATCAAAGTCTGTTGTTTGGTGCAGTCCAAGTTCAGGCCCAACTCAGATTCTGTGACGTAAAACCACTATTCATGGATCTTCATTCAGTCTGACTAATAAAAAGCTTAATAGTAAAGAGGAACTCACAACAAATATCTGCCTTCTGTTTTTCTCTCTATTTGTAACATTTCAAAGGGTATGAAATAGAAGTCTAGATATGAACAATACAGCAAAAACGATACAACAAACCTTTTACTATATTGACGCTAGTCAAAAGGCCCTAAGCTACTGAGTGCATTTCTACTGATACTTTTAACTTAGAAAAATGATATTTTTCCAAGGGATATTTCAGATTTAGAATTCATTCCGTAGACAAACTGGCTTGTGTTTTAGGACTATTCCGATTAGGGCTGCAACTAACAATTATTTTTCAAACTGATTAATCTGTTAGTTATTTTTTCTATTTAACAATAATAATTGGATAGCCAAAGGTTCCTAAAGTATAGTTTTTACAAAATTGCCTATAAATGGAAATGTTCATTTTACTGCTAAGTTGCTCAATTACTGTTGGAAAGCTGTATGCATCGAAATTTCATTTTGTATACACTCTGTTTATACAAAATGACAACATAATTTGTCTAAGTCTATTACAAACATTAATTTGAAAACTAAATGTACATCTAATTAAGTCCTGAAATCTAGTTTATAGCGACTTTTTAACCCTATTATTTAGTATTGGAACTAGCTTGAGGATACTTTTTCTTGTGTGCTTTAAAAAATATTTTAATTTGAAAAAGGTTTTATGTCCTCAAAAGGAATTGGATCAATTGATTAAGGGAAAAATCCACTGAAAGCCTATAAAGTCCTATGACTTTGAAATATCTGCTAAAATAATACAAAATATTGTCTGTTTATATATATTTTTTTATGATCAAAAATAAGCAAATGCAAATAATTAAAGCTTAAACTTTTACGTTGAACAGCTGTTTAACCATCTCTTGTTGAACAACTGTTCCCTTTTGTTTGCATCGATGACCATGCTGTATGAGTGGCTGCTGAAATGTGTCTTTTTGTTAAAGTGCTCGGACTCGACGGTCGAGAGTTAAAGAGCTTTGCAGAGAAGAGTGAGGTCATTCTGGACCTTTCATTTATTATAAGAATTAGTTAGCCACAAGCCAGTGCACATAAGTCAAAAGGAGCCGTGGGAGTACTGTAGTGGGGGGTCCTGCAGGGGTGAGGCCATTGTGTGCTTGTGTGTGC